TAGGCATTTCCCCACCAGAGGGAATGACTCTCCTCTTTCTGGTTAACCAAAGTCTAGGGTACTAAGAGAGGGTGAGTGGATAGAAAATTCCAGAGATATTTTTGTTATCTCAAGAGTATCATCTAAGCTTTGACCTATTAATGATTTTAACATTTATATTCTGTTAGGTTAACCTCAAACAGATTTATCAAAACTTTAAAATTAAATATAAGCTGGAATTATAAATGCTAAGATTTTTTCTCCTGTTTTTTACATCATATAGATATGAATTCACATAAAATTAGAGCATAACAAAGTCAGGAATTGAAATCAAATTGCTTTTATTAGGGTTTATATTTTTATTTCTACAGGTCCTGCTCAATCTGGAATTTTGTCAGATCGTGAAGTAGTAAATCTCTTTCTTCATTTTACTGTCAATCCTAAACCCCGAGTTGAATACATTGACCGACCAAGGTGCTGCCTCAGAGGAAAGGAATGTTGCATCAATAGATTCCAGCAAGTAGAGAGCCGCTGGGGTTACAGTGGAACAAGTGATCGAATCAGGTATCCGTCATATTTTGGACGTGAAAGTGGAATGGGGGTAGCAGTTAGCGTTTGGGCTTTATCCTCATATTGTGGGAGATAACTAACCAACATTTTATTTTATATTTTGTTCAGTGCATTTTTAAGTTATTACAAGAATCAAGAAGTCACTGAGGCTCTTGTCCTCCTCACTGAATTATGAGTGAAGGTGACTTTTTAGGAAAAAATTAAAGTAAGAAAGGTTTGGATTAGGCCTTCTGTTATGTGAATTCTGCTTGGATCATTATTGGTGAGCTGAGTTCTAGACCTTAGTTGATCAGACACTATTTTTATAGGCTTAGGACTACAGTTTAAATAAATTTAACTTTACTATATTTAGTGTGTTTTTTTCTTTGCGTGGACGTTGCATAGAAAATATCTCGGTATACATTTATAAAAGCTTTGGGGAAGAAAATCAAGAATCTTGAAAAATGCAGACATAAAATCCTGTCGAGGAAGTTATCTTTGCTTTACTATGTTTCTTTACGTTAACTCTCAAAATAGAATCAGTACTAGTTTTCATAAAATGTGCCTTATTTAATAACACCTTAGTATAAAACTAGAAATTAAGAACAAGTTTGTTAAAATTAGAACTCTGGTTGAGTAAAGGACTATTATAAATCTTGGATTCAAATGGAAATTAAAAATGCATTTGTAGAGTATTTAATAATCATTCACAATAAGAATAGTATATGTAAAAACTTACAGGATGAGGCAAAAGCTGCACACAAAGAAAAAGTAATAATTAACTACTTTAGTAAATAGAATAGAAATAAATGATTTAGGCATTCAGCCCAAGTAGCTAGAAAGTGAATAGCAAAAGAACCATAAGAAAAGAGAAATAGGTAGATGTAGAAACTCATGAATTAAAAATAGTAGAATTGATAAATCCACAATCTGGTTCCTTAAAAAGACCAATAAAATAAATAAACCTCTGCAAAGGACATAAAGTAAATATATTCACATTTAGAAATAAAAATGGGCATATAATCATACGCTGAGATTTTTACTTTAATTCTGGGTTTACTTTGTACTAATAAATTGAACATCTTGATGGAATGGATCATTTTATAGGCAAATATAAATTATCAAAATTGCCCGAAGAAGAAAGCCTGAATAGACCAATTACCATGGAAGGAATTAAAAGTTATCAAAGAACTGTCCCTTCACAAGGTGGTTTTTACAGGTGAGTTTTATAAAACCTCAAGGAACAGATAGTTTCCTTGAGCATTAAAAGAAGAAAATACTTGGTTAACTATCAAAGGAAGCATGACCCGTATATAGTAATCTGACAAGACAAAAAATACTCTAGATCAACCTCACTTAATATATAGAAGAAGAAATTCTATGTAAAATATTAGCATATGGAATTCAGCAGTACCTTAGAATACTACTATATGAGCACATGGAGTTTACTTGGAGAGTGAAAGAATGACGATGTTAGGAAATGTGTTAATGTAACAGTCCCAATCAAAGAAAAATGCCAATTTGATTTCAATAGATATCAAAAAGGCTTTTGATAAAATTTCACCTTCATTCCAGATATATTAATAGATTAGGTCTAGAGAATACTTATTTAACATGATAGACTATTGAAACCTGAATATAGTGATGCCTACTATCCTTGCTGTTCTCAGTAGTGTTATTATAATTTTGATGAACGTAGTCATAAAGGATGAAGAAATTAGAGGCTTGAGTATGGGGAAGGAAGAGGCCTTTTCATTATTTGCCGATGGCATTATGTACATTAATAGTTCACAACTCCATCATACCTAGTTCTCCCTTTTTTATAACAAATATTTTGTAATTTCCACTTTACTAACCTGCAATGAAATGGATAGGTAATATGCTTCGCACATATTTTCTTAATGGTCTAGTTGTAATGTAAAGGAGAAATAAATGTAACTGATAGTGAGATAAAATATGTAGTTCAATATGCAGACTTTGGTCCAGGTGTGGTGGCTCACACCTGTAATCCCAGCACTTTGGGAGGCCAAGGTAGGATTGCTTGAGGCCAGTCTGGGCAACATAGCAAGACTCCATCTCTGTAAAAAGTTAGATAGGCATGGTGGTGTGCACCTGTAGTCCCAGCTACCTGGGAAGCTGAGGCAGGAGAATTGCTTGGGCCCAGAAGTTTGAGGTTGCAGTGAGCTCTGATCATGCCACTGTACGCCAGCCTGGGTAACAGAGCAAGACCCTGTCTCTAAAAAACAAAAAATGTAGACTGGGCAGGACAACAGGAAAAGACAAACTGAAGTAGTCAGATACAGTGCATATATGCACTGCAGCAGGATGAGACAGTTTCACTTGCAGGATACAGGCAAATTATGTTAATGTCTTATTTGAGTGGTATTGCTGCTGCTTAATGTAGTTTTCTTTAAAGATTCCAGATAAAACAGTATTCTTGATCCTATTCATGGTTTCTGTATTTGTGAACTTGCTGAAATTTATTTGCAACTCCAAAATCAATACTGGGGGTGCTTTCTTAGTCATTTTCAGCGAAAGACTTAGGTTGTCAGACCAGCACGTTCCCAGCTGCAGGTGAACAAGTTTCAGCTCTCCTACAGAGGCGGACTTGGTGAGGGGGTAGTGCAAGAAACTCTAGCTCTTGGCTGGGTTGGATAGGATTTGAGTCCCAGCTCTGGCACCTGTCAGTGGGGTGGCCTTAGGCAAGTCACTTAACACTTCTGAACTCTGTTTTCTCTTTTGTAAAATAAAGAAAGTAGAATCTATGAGGATGAGTTGTTTTTAGCATTTAAGATTATAGTCTATGTAAGATATGTGTGTATACTTTTATATATTGGCCCTGGGAACGATGATTTAGTATTTGCTAATTCTGTGTTATAGAATATAACTACCACAAATAATGAGAATTGTCTGTATATTTCTTCTGTTTATATGGTAGTTGCTTCTTATACAAAGTCAGTGAATATTAAAATTGCACTAAAAAGTCTTTGGTTTATAAATAAAATGGAATTGGGTTCAAGGCTTGTAGTAAAATATGTAAATATGAATTCTGGCAAGACACTTAAAAGTTGACGGAGATTCTTTGTTGTGGGAGACTGTTCTGTGCATTACAGGACATCTAGCACCCCTGGCTTCTTGCCAATACTGCTCTCAAACCTTTGTGAAGACAGAGCATGCCTCATTGAGGGAAGGGCTCTTTTTGAGAACTGGTCCACCTAAGTAACCTCAGTGTCAGCTAAAAAGCTGTTAGAATAGTGGCCACTTATAACATGTATATTTGAAAACCACTGGTTTTCCTCTATGTCATCAAAATTCAGTTACAGAGATGAATAGTGGTGACAGTTGTACAATGATATGAAAGTACTTAATGCCTTTGAGCTGTACACTTAAAAATGGCAAAATGGTATATTTTACATATATTTTACCACATTAAAAAATTTCTAAATGTAAAAGCAGTTGTTATAATTTGAGTA